TCTTAACCCTTGGCTGGGTTATTGTAACACTTTTCGATGAATCCTTGTTGTAAGAGTTTGCATTGTTAACTTCATTCTCTTTTTTCCGGTACATAGGTCTTTTGGAACTAGACCCCTCATTTGATTCAATTTTACCACTTTTCAAGACATTTTCAATGAGTTCTCCAGAAATGACCAAATCTGTAAAATTTCTGGTTGCATTCCCCATTAGATGATTTAAATAAGGAGCTTTCAATGTATGGACAAATATTACTGTGGCCTCTTTTTTTGACAAAGGTGGTTGAACTTGGGCTGCTGTGTCACGCCATCTCTGGGCATATTGTCTGAACGTTTCATTATTCTTTTTCTCCAAATTTTGGAGCGTCCATCTATCAGGGACCATGTCTGTTACGTGGCGGTACTGCTCTAAGAATGCTTTAGCCAGATCTTTCCAGGATCTAATGTTGGCTTTGGTCAATTGAGTATACCATTTTAAAGCTGGTCCTGTCAAACTATCCTGAAAGCAGTGAATTAACAATTTCTCGTCTTTCACATATCCTGCCATTCTGCGACAAAACATAGTAACGTGGGATGAAGGGCATGTAGTACCGTCATATTTATCAAATTCGGGAGCTTTGAACTTGATGGGGAGGATTAGGTCTGGAACCAAACTCAACTCACTAGCGTCAAACCCATAAAATGATTCAGTTATTTCCACGGATTTAATTCGTTCCTCTAAGCTCTTGATCTGTCTGGTTAATTCTTCATTTACTTTTTCTTTCTCATTTAGTTCATTCAAATCTGGGATTAGATGCTCAACATTAAAATCCCCTATTTTCACATCTGATATAAGTGGATTTTTGCTTGAAGATGCAGGATCCACTTGTCGGTTTTCATGTGGTTTGGCTTCTTGAAATACTGATGTACGAGCATTGATTTGTATAGGTGTAGTACCAGAGTGATAAATTGGTTCTGGTGGAAAACCTAAAGGATACATAGGTTCTTGGTCGAAAGATACAGGATTTTCATATTTTTCCAATGATAGCCTGCCTTTTAAAACATGTCTCTATTTTCTGCATCATGCTGTCTTGTGAATTTGCAATACTGGCTTCAATTTTCTCCAGCTTCATTCTCATTTCTGCTTGTTCTTTATATGCTGTTCCTCAATACGTTGTATTTTATCCTCCATAATTCTCTTAGTAGCTGTCTAGTACCGTAGTGATGTTGTATTTCTCTTTTGGCCAGAATAACTGCGATTGAAAAATCTTTTGATATTATTTTTTCCAAATTTTAATTAATGAATTTTATCTTAATAATAAAAATTATACATAAAGAAAATCATGAAATGAATAATGAATGTATGCAAAATGCATGTATGCAAAAAAGGTATTGATCCCAAAAAGTTAACTGTCATAGAACAACTTTCATCGGCATACAAAAGTTTCTCTATAATAGTTCATAACTACAGATAAGGCGTAGCTTTCCTATTAAGCTCTATAATTTCTTTCATTAACCATGACACCTTCTTTCCGCACTTAGAAACTGGATCAACGTGATGCTCAATTATTTTGGCTTCAACAGCTAGTTCCCCAACATATCTAGCACTTCGTCATTTGTACCATGGCCTCGAACACCATATTACTTCTTTCTTCACTTCTTTCAACATAGAAATCAGTTGACTTTTGCCATTGTTCATTCGTTCCTTCAAGAGTTTGCTCTAACTCAGTGATTCTAACTTGACAATTGTACAGAATTTTTTCAAGATCACTAATGTGTCTTCGCAGTGAAGCACTTTCCTCATTACTTTCTTTGAGATCATTAGGTCCTAGACGAACCTTTTCTTGAAATAATGATTCTTCAAGTTGCAAAATGTAAGCGTTAAACTCTGAGTTTTTGTTTCTAGACTGATCCAGATCTTCTTCAAGTTTTGTTCGTGCTTCTTGCGTTCTTTGATTAATCTTCTGGATTTGAACATTCTTGTTCTGCATCTTTGCATCCAATTGCTAGCCACTTCTTGCTCTACCTCAATTTTGGTGTTGAAATTCTTTTTCCAACTCCCTTTTTCTTTTCAATATTGAACTCTTCAATCTTTTGGCCCCTGACTTCAAGTTCAGCAATCAGCTGGTTCATTTCAGATTCAAATCCCTTGAACATGATATTTTCTCACCTTCAAATTTATCAAAGATGTCATTCTTCATTTCTTCTAAATCTTTGGCTCGATCCCTTTCTCTTTGCATTTATTTCATGATCTCGCGGTGTTCAGCCTTGTGTTTTATAATTCGCTCTCTTTTGTCGACCTCAAAATCTTCCATTTTTTGCTTTCCTTTCTCAAGGCTTTTGAGTAGACGGCTATTCTTTCCTTTCAGATCTTCAACTAGACTTTTCTCGATGTTCAACTCTCTGGTCATCTGTACCGTTGATTGGCTTGGTCCTGATGCTTTCCGGATTTATATAACTTGGTAATTTTTCTTTAATGTTCTAAATTCACCATCAATTTTTTCTTTGTTTTCTCTCAACATTGCACATTGTGATGAATGAAAGTCAATATCAACACCCAACATAGCTTTATCTCGTCTCATTTGCTCAAATTTTCTTGACCATCCTTCTCTTTCTGCTTCAAACTCAGCTCTCAGGATTTCAATTTCTGATAGAACCACCTTAATGCGATCTTCCATAGAGATATCCTCATTTTGATCTGGTAGAGGAATATTTTCATTTTTCCTGACAGATCTCCATTCCTCATAATCAGGAGTTAGCATTTCTTTTGCTGCTTTAGCTCGGATACAAAAAGTTGTTTTCCAAGCTGTAACGGCTTCCATGATATTTCTTTTATAATTTTTGCTGTGGAATGCGAACTCAGATGAATGTAATCTAGCGGTGACAGGTACAAATTGACGACCTTCATACTGTCTTATGACCAGAAGTGGTGCATATCCAATTCCTCCCCATAATCCGAGCAACATTATCCAATTGTAATCACCACATTTATAAAAGAATTCCCTTTGGATTTGCCATGGGGCTCGCCAAACAACGTCATTGCTTTGCAGATTTCGAAAGGCATTAATCCACATATCTTTCTTAATTTCTTTCGGCCATTCTTGCTCCAGAAATTCTTTTAATGGTGAGTAATCTGTATTAAAGCGTCGGTATAAAACCTTTTCTGTCCTCCAAAAATGGCTACGGATCCAAACATATAACAACTGGGTACACCCTGAGAATCGTCCACCTCCTAGCTTTCTACAAGCATTTAACGATCTGAAGGTCTCTGCTAGAATTGCAGAAGCAGGATTAATCTTTTTCGGTAGCTGTTCAAACAAATCTACCACTGCAGCTTCAACATATCCCAATACTTTTGGGAAGATGACCATACCATACATACTCAGAGCAAATAGATCGAATTTTACTTTAGTATCTGGATGGCTCTGAATAAGTTCTTTAATGTTGGTCCAAGCAATGCCTTCGCTTTCGCCTTTTTGTTTTGTACGGGATGCCACCCATTCTTCTCGTACCCCGACAATCTTTGCTAATTTAACTCGAAAGGGTTGAGTTTTAATTGACTTTGAATAGATTCGATTCTCCAAAGCCCCTTCGATATGTAGCAAAGTTGTGTACTCTTCAATAGTAGGGACCAAGTCCTCTTTATTGAGAGTGAAGCAATTGTACCCTGGATTCCAGAATTGAATTAGGGCTCTGAGTAATTCATCATCAACTTCGACATAGAGCAAATATGGGATGTCTCCGTAAGTCTGATAAAACTGCAATTTTTTGTTTGAATCCCAACTTTCCCAAATACTTCGCAAATCTTGCATATAATTTCTTTTTAGCGAAACTGGGCATAACTGGCCAAGTCAGATACATAATCATCCTACAGACTGTTTCCTTCTTGTCTTTGTAAGTCCTCAGCCCACTGTCTTACTTCTGAGTTTAGAATTACTTGATTTGAACACTTTTTATCCATGGATGAAGGCTTTCCAATGAGACAATTAACACAAGGATCAATGCCTTTATCCTGTATGATGCTATTTACCACCAGCTCGATTAATGCCTGCAGTCATGCCAAATGAAACAATTACAAAATTCCACACTTAGTCATTTTATTCTTTAATTATAAAAACGTCACCCCCTCTCGTAGTCGAATATCATCTCGAAACCATTCCAAAGTAAATGACAATCACACGCACTAGACCGCGTTCTGTCACTTGGTAGTTGGTCTGCACAACCTATGCAAGCGTAACGAGAATTTCCTCTCCCTCTCACATGTGAAGAAGCTAGAGGGGTGACCCATTATAGTTGTCCAACATTACATCACTTAACAAGAAAACCTATAGTTCTTAATACAAAATGATCTTTGATCCATCTCCTACCTGGTCCATGTCATCGCAAGTCAAAACACCAAATATACAAGAACACCTGCAAAGTTGATAAGCTGCAGCTTCAATCAAGAATAAAAAAATTTGAAACTAAGGAAAGATACATGATACATTCCATATTTCCATGTGTATCTAGGGCATGATCGATGCAGATCTTTTTGACAACTGCCCGTAATGTTTTCCTCCCAGTTTTGAAAGGATGGTAATTTTCAACTTTTCAAAAGAATATAATCTTGCAATGTTTCCTTGTGTTGTCTAATTGAAACAATTAGGAGAAAATAATGAACTTTGTGATTAAACGATTACCATGATACCATTATGTAGACAGGTAAGAGTAAAATCCGCAAGATTTAGAACATATGCTGAAAAGTATGAGTTAGTTTGAAAGAGCAGATACTAAAGAGGTATATTTGCAGTCAAAGAATTGTAAGCATATCAAACAAAGTTCTTTATAACTTCAGCCAATCTATAAATATTGAGGTATAAAAAATGTCTAGGATTTGCCTGAATAAGCAAGAAAAATCGAGATATAGCTTTTGATCAATGAAATTGTATTTGCTGTGGTAATTTATAGGTGAGGTGCCAACAATAATACCATGGTAGCATTTTAAGCGAAATGGGTCTGACCTGAGTTTAAGCCAGCTGAAAGCACCCAGTGTTGCAGAATTAACCACGGCATCATAGTGAGAGTATCTCCTTTTATCTGTTGGCAGGATTAACAAAATTACTCAGCAATAGCATAGAAAGGACTTCCGGTGAGCAGCTAAAGTTTATATGAGAAATTCCCAAGGAACATGTAAGAAATCATACCACATCCCCAATGCATAAAACTGCATGATACTTTCGAGACTTGCCCAGCTTTTCTGCAGCAAACCCAATTTCAAAACTACCAGGGACCCAGACAACCTGATAAGAAAGTGGTGAAATGATCAATCCATCCTAAAAGTTGGCTAAACGTTAATGAAAGGATTTGGCCAAAGATTCATATGCTGAAAAGGGCTAGTTGCAAGTAAGATGATACAGAGCAAATCATGGATCATTGAAGACAAAGACTTCGATAGTGATGCCATCAATGCGGGCTTAGAAATATCCTACCCTATATCCTAGTCTTTGAACTGAATAAGTCAAAACAATTGCTATCATTTGCAGCGGGTAGCAAAGAAAGCACAGGTGTGTAGATAAATTACAAGAAAACCAGGCATGTAATCCGAGATAGAGATATGTTATATAACATTATATTAAGAAGGCTTTCATTTTAGCATAAAAAGTAGGAGGCTGGTTAGTGGTTGTTACACACATCAATGTCTTCTTCATTAACTGAATACTTGCGGAAAGTCTCCAGAGCTCCCTCCAGTAGCAGCTTTGTCACAATCTCATTGAAACGGGCGACAACCTTTGAAATGTAATAAAAAATCAACATAGTAATAATAGTATGGAATCAACAAACATAAAAAATGAAATAGAAGGGTATTCGATCTTTGCTTTGTACTTGCAGATAGCAATTGAAGGTAAAACTGACCACAGCAAAGCGAAGGCCTTGAGCTTTGTAACGGACCCTTCCAAATGGCGTACTGCCGCTGATTGTACAGAGGAGGAGCTCTGCTTCTCATTCACCACAATCCTGATTTCATCAAATATATTCAAATATATCACTAATTATATCCAAAAAATCCGAAACAAATGCTAATAAACGAGTTTTAAAAGAAAACAATCAATAAACTTCGGAACCAATTATGTACTTCTATCTAGCTGAGCTAACTTCAATCACTAAAATTATAAATCTGAATCCACTTCTCATTGCATTTTGTTTCTTAGCACTGAAGAGTGAAGTTTCCCCTAATTCCGAAAACAAGTTCTAAAAATTCCTAACCTCGTGAATCAAGGATGACAAGATCCAGAGTTCTAAAACAACTTTAAACAAACTGAGATTCAAATTTTAATTGAGGTATCAAAAGAAATGAAATTCCGAGAGAGAGAGAGAGAGAGGAGAGATTACCTTGGAATTGGAAGGAGAGGAAAAAGAGACGGTTGACCTGCGGGGAGAAATGGCGGCGGCAGAGGGCGGATTCCCTGGAGTGAGAAACGCAACCGCATACTGTTCTGCTCAAGAGACGCTCTTGAATCTTTAAGCATCCGAATCCACTTAAAGCCATTTCCTTTTGCTTTGCTTTCTGTGCTTTTCTGCAGTGTTTGATTTGGTGTTTTTGGACTGCTGCCCTGCGTCTCTCCTCTGCTTTCAGACTTTTGCTTCGGACCTGGGAGGGTCAAACCACTGAGACACTCTATTTGTGTAGGTTTATTTTCGAGGAGGTTAATGTTTGGTTGGTATTTGTTTTTATTAATTTATTTTTAAGCATGAATTAAACCACTTTAACGATGTCAACGACTGTGGATACAGGTGGGTGAGATTATGAAATTTAGGCTTGTAAGTAGGGATGAGCGTTGGACTCGAAGGTTTTGACCCGACTCGATCGGGTCGGATTTTTTATAAAAAAAAATCAGGTTCGAGTCAGATTTTTTTTAATGTGATGTTTGGGTCAATTTACTTTAAATATTTATGAATAATTATAATAATATCACTATATATATATATATTATTTTTTTTAAAATTAAGGGTCGGATTTTTATAAAAAAATCAGGTTCAGGTCAGGTCGGTTCAGGTTTAGGGTGAAAAATACCTGACCGACCTGACTCGAAAAAAAATGTAATTTACCTTAAATATTTAATAATTACAATAATACCACTCTATATATATATATATTTTTTTAAAATTAAGGGTCATTTTTATAAAAAAAATCAAGTCCGAGTCAGGTTTTTTTTAATGTGATATTCGGTCAGGTCGGTTCAGGTTTAGGGTGAAAAATACCTGACGACCTGACCCGAAAAAAATGAATTTACCTTAAATATTTATGAATAATTACAATAATACACTCTATATATATTATTTTTTTAAATTAAGTCATTGTTTTTATTAAATAAAAATATTTGTATTATTTCGTATCGGGTCGGGTCGTGTTTTTAAGTTATATATCGGGTCGGGTGAAAACTTGTTTTGGTCAGGTCGAGTGGACCAAAAACTCGACCCATGCCTATTCCTACTTGTAAGGGTAAGTTCGAATCCTACCATCTTCACTGTTAATGAGAAATTCCTATTTAATTCCAATTGAGTCTTACGTATACTTTAACCATGTACTGAGAAGTCACTACTGACCTAAACTTTTTAGTTACTAAAAAACGGCTTTGGTGATTAAACGAATGCTTATTATTTTTAGAGGGTTTAGTTTTAACCATCAACGACTATAGGGTATTTGAGATTTCATTTTCAAATGATCGTGAATCTTTAAAATAGATACTACCACTTGTAATCACATTAAATTAATTATATTTTTAAATGTTCGTGTTTGATTCTTTGAAACAAATTTATTCGTGAATATAAACAAAGCAAACATACTCTTCTTTCATTTATTAAATAAACATAAAATTTATCCATATTTATTTATTATTTTTAATAAACAATATTTATTCCGAACATTCAAATGTTCTATTCGTTTATACCTCTGACCGAACCAATCAATTTACTTAAAGGGACCTATTTTGAATTTTATAAAGTTACATTTTACTTTGAAATTTCGTTTCAAACTGGATTTACAATATAATTGAGTTAAAATAGAGTTGAATTTTAGAATGTATAATGATTTTCTTTTATCTTTTTTTTATAGAAGTCACGAAAATATCTAGAATTACAATGAAGATTTATAAGTATAATTGCGTAAACATAAACTAAATTTTATTTAAGATATCAAACAAGGACCATAAAAAAAGTTAAAAAACTTAACTAATGCCCGAACAAAATAAATATACGAAAAAATTTAACTGCATCGGCAAACAAACCACAAAAAATGATGAAACTACTGAAAGATCACCGACAAATCACAAAGCAGTCAAGCTACGTGAGAAAACTATTCATGCATTAGCGCAAAACGCGTATCCAAATCAACGTGAGGGTCCAAAGCAGGGAAGATCAACATGATAACAAATAAGACTCATCTTGATCAGTTGTGACGATGTCAAATCTAATCATGAGAAAAAGATAAACGAAATCAACGGCAAAAAAACGAAAACTACCTAAAAATAGATAAAAACGTGTCACAAAGGCAAAGTGTCATGAAGACAGGAATAAACATTTTGCAAAGACATTATTCTTATTAAAAAAATTAAAAAGTAAAGAGAAAAGACAATCGTCAATCGATAACTAGTAAAAAAATCGATGTTGTCGCTTAAATAAAATTAAAAAAATTGATTTAATCTATAAAAATTGATTTAATCTATAAAAATTGACACAAACTATAAATAAAAAATAGAAAGAGGAGAGGGGGAGAGAACTACTAGATTTTTTTTTAGAAAACCCTCTTATTATCTTAAATTTTAATGTTTTTTTCTTTTTAATACAAGATTATCATAAGAAATAGTAAACATATTTACTTCGAATATATTTGTTAATCTCGATAATAACAGAAGTTAATTTACTATATTTGATTATTATGTGTATATTTTATATTTTATTATATTATAAGTTTTTATATATTTGATCAACATATTTTAAATATTTGATTAATATTCACAGATTTTATTTAACACATAATGATTATTTTGGATATAATTTATTTTTCAAAAATTATAATAATTTTTAAATTATAGATACAATTACAATATTATAGTAAATTTAAAGATATTAAAATATGATCATTACGTTATATTGCAAACTATAATTTAAAACTATACACTGGTAATGTTTTAAAAAATAAAAAGAATATACCTTATATTGGGAAGAAAAATATATTTGGACGTGTTTATAAAATATTATTCTTTTCCTTTCTTGTTGACTGTGATATAATAAAACTCTCTAATGTGTTTTGTTTTCCGACTCAACTTATTATTATTTTTATGTGTTTTTGATATGCTCCGCATATATATTATATTTTAGAAAAAAATTTATAAGAATTTTCTAAAGCTTAAAATTGTGTATTTATAGACTTGGTTAAAATATAAAAAATAAAAGCTATAGGTATAAGTTTTTAATGTCATCCTTAATTTTATCATCATTTTAACTGATATGTCAATTTTCAGTTTTCAATGATTTATGATATATTTATGAATTTTTATTTTATTTAATTATCTTATCAATATTAATGTCTTGTTTTATAGTAATACTGTTAATACTATATTTCCTATAACAATTGGAGGAATGGCTACGACATCGTCAGATTGTGTTGAAGCTGGCTTATAGGGGATTCACACTTTCAATGTTGCTCTTTCGTTGGTTAGCGAGTATAGTTGGACCCATGTCATATTCGAATCGGATTTAGCGCTCATTGTTAACAAGTTGTCCTAACAAGAGGAAGATCTATCCACGTTAGATTATCACCTTTTGAAAGCTCGTACGACAATAGAGGTTATGATCTACTTCAAGGTTTGCCACGTTTTTAGATTTTGTAATTCTCTGGCTTATACTTCAGCTACGTGATGTTTTGTATTTTGATTCAGTTTGTCCTGAACTTAAATCGTCTATTGTATCCAACGATTATTAATACAAGTTCATAGGACACCGTTTTCCTCTTATAGGCGGGTCTTTCATTAGACCCACTCTTAAAAAAAATCAATTTATCGATATTCTACTTAAAACACTTGAAGGTCATACTCAAACCCACGCCTTATGAACATCATCAACAACAAACATAATTTAAATTTTAAATATATACTATTTTATAATTATTCTAACTTAAAAAAGTTAATGGTTGAAAATGTAGTCTTGTCTACACATCCATGTGAGAAGAGCATGTGGGTGTGTCTACATCAAGTTGAAAGTTTGTTCCTCTTTCTCGGTCTCGAGGAGCTGCTTTGCTTGCATTACTTTAATTATCTTTTTGAGAACTCAGAACTCTGAGACTAAATCCTTAAACACCATCCGTTCAACATCGAGAACCACCCTGGAAATCCCGCCGTTGAAACCAGTCCAGCTCTCGGATTGACACATTACATCTTCCAACAACATGTTTGTCAGACCATCCTCCTCTTCGTCCGTGATGCTGTTTGATTTCTTGGCTTGAAAATGCTCTATCTCCGTACAGAGTTCCTTTAGAAGCTTTTTTGCATTGAGGGTCTTCCTCGCCAGCTTTCCAGAGTTCATCCAAGGCTCTGCTGAGACACCCACTAGAGCTAACTTTCCAACAAGAATCTCATTAACCAAATCGAATATGAACTTCCGATGGAATTTCTCGTGGTCCGGCTTTGAAAGCGAAACCTTTCCAGAGTTACCATCTTCTTTTGAAAGCAAAGAGCTTGCTTTGGTTTTCTCCAAAACGAAGAATAGCTCCGGGTTGATCGGATGGGCTGATGGATGAAGCTGAAACGCTGTCGAGACACAACCTTGGTTTCTCAGCAGGAGGCCGGAGGCTAATAATATCTCAGAAATGTATCTGTGATCCTGGTTCGTATTCTCACAAAGGGATGCGATGTAATCTGTACTGGCTTCATCATGAGTGGAGTT